AAATTATATGATAACTCCCATTACATTATATAAATGTAAATTTGACGGCGTCCAAAGGCTATTTATAATAAGAACATTTATCACATCATTATGATTTTATAATACTCAAGCAATAATCAATAAGCGTAAATTTTTCAAAATTTATTGACATTAGTAGTGTTAAATCACGTAAAAGAAAACAAGAAGTTTGTATGAATTAAAAATTAATTCTTTGTTAAATATTTTAATAAAAACCAGGTAAATAAATATTATTACTACATATAAGTATAAAAACAAACATAAACTTCAGTTAGGGGTTGATTACAAAAAAACCCTTATTTTTTATTAGTTGTTTTAAATTAAATTGAAACAACTTTTTCTAAGGAATCGCTGATTACGGTAAAGTGTTGCATAGTCGATAATGGAGAATCTTGCACACATTTAACAGTTACGGTTGGATTCATGTACTCACAGAGACCATGTTTTTTTAACACACGAAAACTTTTATGCAATGGTTCATGAACAGGAAATTTTGACTTGATGAAAATAATTTTCAAAAAAGATTTATCTCTTAAATAAAACGATAATTATTTTAATATACTCATTGAATATTATAAAGTATCATTAAGAAAATAATTACTTCATGACTAATATCAAAGTGATTCTGTATAATAACAAAACTGTTTTTTTATGCATTTGTATATTGATCAAGTGACAATATGGGATGTACTTAAAAATTTTATATAAAATATTCACATACACTCGAAAAGTCTTATGAAAAAAACGTTTTTTATGGTCTTGTTATCCTTAATAACCTGTTTAATGATAGCTAGACTTTTACGAGTAAAGTACACTTTGATGTTTTTTTTTTTGAACTTTTCAATGTTGATTACCTTGCAGATATTTTACGATTTTTTTTAATTCTGCTCGTTCTTGTTCAGTATTATATCAAGTAAGTAGAGATTTTATAAAGCTGTTTTATTTAAAGTTACAACCCGTTCCTGCTAGTTTTCATATGCATATACACTGTATATTATACAGTGTACATGCATATGTATATTATACACATCTATAAAACTTTGCGATTACTGCGATAAAAATATTTAGAATAACAAAATAATGAGTTAGTTCAAATACTATTATAGCTGAATATAAAAATAGATTATAATATTTATCAAAATTTTTTCCATACAACAAAACACAATTTCCTGAATTGAAATATTTTTTATGTAACAGACACTACATATATTGTAAGATGTCTGTGTGTTATAGAGAAATTATTAGAACAATATTTCAGTTTAAATAAAATAAAATAAATTATTGGTTGAAAAAACTATACGTTGGGGTTAATTTTCACAGGGACCTCGGACGTTGGCCGTTCAGAGTGGTCCAGTCAGCTGTTAACCGTCGATCACATTGACAGTCACGTTGAAGGCGCCACTATTATTTATAAACGGCTGTTTTTACGGATCACGTTTTTTTTTGGTGACCAATAATAGGACATCGCGCGGTAAACGGCCAAGTCTCGGACGGCAAAGCGAAAAAACGATCGGCTTCGAGGATCTAGAGTGGCCGGACGGGTTCGAACACTACTACAATGACGTGGAAATACGTACGCCGCCGCTTCAAACGTCTATGGTGAATAGCGGGCACAGTGGTCTCTATCATCACCATCACCATCACCACCATTATCACCACTGCCACAGTGACCGCGGTCTGAAACCACGCCGTAGCCACCATCCCACCGCCGACCACAACACGTCCTGTTACCAATCGCAACCGTCGTCCCGATCGCTGTGCAGACGGGTGTTCAACTTCATAAGACAAGCGTGGACCGGCGTCAAGTTCGCCTTAGGTTGTGCAGCGTAAAACAAACTGTTATAGAACCCCACTGCTCGTTCCCAACATCAAACTGGCATGTTCCAATGGTAGCTAATGATAATACATAAACGGATATGGGACAAGGCTGCTATAGTATTATCAAGACTTCTTCATTGGGTAGTGGGTATTTCTAACATTGATATTAAACCCATGGACTTTCATATTTCACTTTTTTTTTTTTTAATAAATACTGTCTGTTTTATTCTTGAATCAATTTAGCACATTACAGACTTCTATACTGTTAATATTGACAAAAGGTAATATTTATTATGATTTTTATTTCTAAAATAAGAAACTAATCGCTCATTGACTAACATTTTTGTCTATTATGAATATTAATTTTAAATAATCCAAAAATCTGAAATATTTATTCCTGTTTTTAAAAAAACAATGTACACGTGTTTATTAAAACTTAAAAAATAAAAACTCAAAATATTTTCGATTTAGTATAGAGGGCTGTGTTCTTTACAGTTACTTTCCCTTGTCTTCGTAGAAAAACAATGCATGGAAAACCGGAATAAGATGCCGGCTGAAGTGATAAAAAACTTATTGAATTTTTAAATTATGTAAAAAAATATATTATCCTTGTGTTTAATATCAATGGGAAACGTGTTGCTATATTTTAAATGATTGAATCTTGTATCTTAATAAAATATTTCAAAACATACATTCAGAATAATACTAATTTTGAAGACTATTCATTGTCAATTCAAACGAAACGTATTATCAACGGTTTCACTTTCAAATAAAAATGACGGATTTTAAAATTCCATTAATCTTTTTATGTATTATACTCGCACATTTAAAATTTAAGAAGTATACTAAAAATTCATTTAAAATGCGGAAATAGTACAGAAATAAATTAAAACGTGGTAATAAATACTCGATGTGTCTCCTGTCCATTTTTGTATTATGTACATATTATTATAAAAACTTATTACGCATGTATCAAAGCAAATCATTATGAAATCACAAAAAAAGCTCTATCAATATTGCTTTTAACTCATGTTTTTAGATTATAAAAGAAAATTGTAAGTGCAAAAGAAAAAGTAGTAACATCAAATCAGTAATTATTTTACAAATTATGGTTATTATGATGCTTTTATGTTTTACAAAAAATTATTAAATTAAATTTTCAAATAGTAATTAGAGTAATTTGAAATTTAAATGAAAAAATATAATATTTTGTTTTTATTAATCAATATATACATTGCGCGTTAGTACTAATTAGCAAGTAATTTAACACAGGTGGGTAAACATTTTCAAATGTAATTACTCATTTTTAATTTGGAGCATACAAACAAGTATAGGTTTTTAATTTGTTATTATTTATTATGAGATATTGCTGTTGCATAGCTACGGCAAAAAATTGTATTTAAATGACTTACTATTTTTTTACGCATGTTTTTGTAGGATAGCATTTCATTTGCATGTTTGTATAAATATACATCTAATGTAACAAATAATTTTATATCGCCATAATTACTAAGCAGTTATTTATTTCAACGAGTTAGAATAAGATTTCCTTCACATTAATAAGACAAACGCAGAGTTAATATTAGTAAGCTCGTTACAATACCAAAGACGCGGTTGTTAATTTTCTGGGAAATTCGGTCGTTTATGCAGAACAGGCTTAAATCTAATCAGTTCTAATGAATAAACTACATCAAGGTAGTTAAGACCAGAAGTGAAATTTAGTTGTTATTATAACATTTCCACTATTGGTAAGAAAAGAGGGTGTGAAAAAAGTTTGATGATTTTTAAACTCGCATCTGACTCAAAATCCAAAAAATAAGTTTATTTAGTTGTTTTCCAATAGTTATCGATCACCTAAGCTGTTGTGAACATACTCTTCCGCAATTTCTGCACATCATAGACATTTGAACACATTTGTACAACATTACGAAAGTAATTTTTCTTTTTGATGTTATTGTTAAATGATTTATGTCGGGCTAATGGACAAATAAACACATTTTTTTCACTACATTAAATGTTGATTTCTTCGAACCATTTATTTGAAAAAGATATTTTAAAAACTCCACTTTTTAATGACAAATTAATTAATTAAATTAAATTGAATTTAATTAATTGAATTTTATTTAATTCATTAAATGTTCGATGCGTTGTTATAATATAATGTTAATTTTTTCAAATACTTTTTATTAAGCAGCGAAATATTTTTGATTAATGAAACAAATAATACAACATACTGAAGCATACATTTTTAATGTTTCTATAATTCCATATATTCATATATTTTATGTGGTTAGATTTTAATTAAAAATACTCTTAAGAATTATTCATTATGTACAATTTTATACAATATGTTTTTACATAAGGTACAAACATTTTTCCATTAATTTAATATTACTTTAAAACTTAATCGCTCTGAAATAGTTGATTAGCATATTTACTCTAGTAAAAAACAAAACATTTATAATTTCCTCAATAATTTTAAATACTCAGATTCCAGTAAATTGGCATAAATTTTGTAGTAAATATCGACCCATTAAATTAAATATTGTTTAACATAATAGCTAACTCATAGCGTGTATCTAATAGAGTGTATAAAAATAATAATTTATGAAATATTAAATTGCTTTTTTATAATATTTGCAAAACTTTTTACTAAAAAATCACGAATAAGTTTTAAAAATAAAAAATAAAATAAATTTTTTATTTATTATTCAACGAGAGATTACACAATAGATTTAAACATGAAAAAATCGCTAAAAAATGAATGTTCATTTCTTATCAACTCAGTTCTTATTTTTTATAATAATTTGTAAAAGTTAACGGAAAACTGATTAAATTGTTGCAACTTATTGAGTATATTTTTATAATTTTGACACAGTATGCTTCTGTTAAGAGTCGAGAGGCAATCATAAAATTCACAATTTCAGCATTTTTCAATTAAAAACGTTATTGTCTCTTATGTGACATAGTTACATAATACCCGCTTGTTTTTTTAGCTTGCATGGCAAATTTCACTAAGTAATTTCTTTTTTTTTTTTTTTCAATGATGAAAAAAGTTCACAAATGTATAACCGCTTTATAATCATTGATTTTTTCGTAGTTTTTCAGACTGATCAATAAAATACATATTAAAAATTAATAACATGTTTGTATTTTTTATTCAGATTCTGAATTAGATGATTTGGAAACCCCTCCCAGGTATCGACCAGAAAGTGTACAATACTTTTGTCGAACAACAGGTTTCTCAGAATCAGAAATAAAAAAAATTTACCGAAATTTTAAAACGGAATGTCCAACAGGTCTCATAAAAGAAGACACATTTCGTGGTATTTACTCCCAATTTTTCCCACAAGGAGGTAATTAAATTATTACTATTGAGTTAAAAAACAGACTAATACATTGTTCAGTTAACCACTGACGAATAATATACAAAATATATTTTCAGCAAATACTAGTCAATACGCTCACTATGTTTTCCAATCGCTTGACCACGAGAGAAATGGTATTCTAAATTTTGAGGTAAGATTAATACTTTTTCTATTTGAATAGAAATCACTGATTTCTCAAGAGTGACATTTTGTCAAATTTGTTAATTATACAAGTAGTTAAATATTCTGTGTAAAACTATATTTTATCTAAAAAAATTATATAAGATTATTTAAAAATATTAATAACAATAACGTGTTGATTTATTTTATTTCTTGACCTAATCTCCATATGATAACTTTTTTATTTGCTACAAAAACAACACAATTCAAATATGTTTTATCTTGATTTAATTAAATTGTAAGTGCAAAATAAGTTGAATTTCTGAAGGAATGATGTTTTTTGTGGTTTGTGTAAAATTTAAATTTTGATGACTTGTGTTTTTTTTTTTTTAATGACCGAATCATTTAAATTTTCTGATATTATTTATTTTGAATGCGAACTACATGAATAAATAAATATTATGTTATTACTCCCATTTTTAATCATTTGAATGATTACACAATCATAATTTTATCGATTATCTAATTAATGTTACAATTTAAACTACGAGGCTTAAAAATTATGAGCCCCTAAAATAATTACTGTGATATAGTTTGTATTCAGAATCAAAAATCAAATTATTTCAGTATGCTCTACAAACGATGCTCTTGGTTTATTGCTATTGTTTCAAAAATAATCATGAATATGACTTATTAAATACAATCGAATTTTATGATCACGATACGATAATGTATTAGTAATAATTAATATTATGTCTTATACTACTGATATACTATATATCAATAGTACTTAATTAATATTTGTATTATTTATTTAGAAATCGTATTTCAAAATGATCCTTTAGCTTCAACAAAATGCTTAGAAGGTATTAATTTTACTATGATATTGTTTTTTTTTTATATCAGTCGCCACTCTTCCTTTGCTCTTGTCGAACCGATTTATTTCAATAATATGTCAAAAGATCAAAAATTGTATCTAGTTGAAGACTTTGCTTTAAAAATTGAAAAAATTGTCCTCGTTCTATTTATATGAGGGAAATCCTTAAAAAAATTATAATTTTTAAAATCAGTAAATTTCGACATTTTTAAACTTACACAGTCACTTAAACAGTCATATATTTTTAAAAAACCAAGAAACCAAAATAATTTTTTTTATAGAAATACGTTAAGTATTTACTTTTTATGTGATATACATTTTTTGAAAACCTGACCCTTTATTTACCCATAGGAGGGATTCAAAATTTGTCCGACTTATTTTCTATGTGCAAATGACCGTTGAAATTGAAGAGAAAATTTCATTTTCGTGTAAAAAATCACCTTTTAATGTAATGTTATTTTGTTACATTAAGCTGCCATAACTTTTTAAAAAATGAGCGTACCAAAAAATTTTTTTTATTTAAATACCTTAAGTATTTCCTTTATATTTGAAATAATTGTTTTAAAAATCTGATCCTTTAATGATCCATGGGGCAAATTCAAAGCTGAAACTTTTGTACAAAAAGATAATTTTGTTCAACTTAACTTTAGAAAATATTCTAAAAATACTGTGTTCTTTAAACAAATATTAAATTAAAGCTTATAGTATAAATTATAAATTAAAAAAAAATTTGTCCGACTGCTTATTTTCTGTGTGCAAATAGTTGCCGTAGTTAAAAAACATGTATTAAAATTTTTTTTAAACAAATTTTGTACGTTTTCCGAAGTCATAAAAAGGGGTTTTTTTCAATTTCAATTTTACACTGTTATTACTTCAAAAAAAAAAACTAGACAATTTTTTTATTTTAAATTACCTTACCTTGGTTAGCCATAGTAATGAGACCATCGATTTTTATAGAAGTTACATAAGTATAACTTACATTAAGTATAAAGTTAAACTTACTTTGAATATTTAAAGAAAAACGACTTTGAATCTTTGAATTAGCATAAATTGTCTTTCGCCTATGCGATATACGGTTGCCGCATCGCTATCATTTATGTGTATCACACTCGGACTACAAAGTTCGAACCATGTTTACTAAAATGTCTTTTTTGCACTTTATTTTTAATTAATTTAAAGGTGGAAAAAAATGTATAGTTAATTTAATTTTTATCTTATTTATATTTAACAACATCAATGAACATCAACCCCATCACTTTAGTCTCCCCTAGTGGGAAGGGATATCTTATTCATATTAAAATATGTAAATACTCGTTTTTACTAATTAGTAGTAATCTCAAAAAAGAGATGATACAAAAAAATCTAATTACAGATTTGAAATCATTTCATAAGTAACAATGTTTATTTGAAGAGTATTAAATTAATTGTTATAAAAATTTTCCATAAAAGTGACAACAACTTTATAATTTTTTAAAATTTCATCGTAAACATTACAATATTAAATAATTAAAAAATCTTGTATTATACTTATAAATTATAACACTTGTAATCAGCATATAAATAAGAAAATAGTAGTTAATTTTCCTTTTGGAATAATCCACCAATTTCTTAAAATTAAACACTATCTACAAATTTGCATTGAAGCGTTTCTTATGATAGTGATTTTAATCACTGTCAGATATCGTTTATACTTGTCTCAACTATGCCAAGTCCCCACTGTACCATGACTCCACTGTGCTGTCGTTTTTTTATTTTACTTTCTCCGTGACAGAAGAACACATTTAGAATTCATACAGTTTTCGTACCCATAAAGATCATTTATTATAATTTATTTTCTTAAATAGGTTTTCAAACGGATCATTAAGGAATACAAGGTTATTTAAATAAAATTATACTCATTTCTAAATTTCTATAATTATATTTCCTTGTATTTAAATGCTTTTTAAGAACTTTACTAATTTTATTATTTGTAATTTAATTTCTGAAGTTTAGAATATTTTAATTTAGGTATGAGAAATATATTTAAAATAACCATTGTTAGAAATTGAAATTGTATTATAATTTTATAAAAGTCTTTTTTTATTATTTTTGAATTTTGTTATTTTTTTAATTGGTGAGAAAATGAGGTACTATAATGATAATCTTTTTACGGTCGAATAAAAATTTAAAAAAGAACCCCATTCAATTTATTTTTAAAGACATCTTAAAGTGTTATTTATGAGAATTTACTGCTATTTTGGAGTACTTCAAAGGTCTCATTTGATTTTTCATTATGATTGATGATTTAACGCCATCATTATTTAGTTTTGTCGTGAATATTTTGAAATTTGCTGATCACATTAAATTAGAAAATCTTAAAAGAAATAATTTTTAATACAAAAAGTCATCCCAGGAGATACTTTAAATGGAATTACTTAGGTTTTATTAAGTTGATAAGAAAATAAATCTTAAATTAGGATAAATATATACACATATAGCTTTGATGAGTAGCTCAGAAGTTATATTGGTTTATTCTGTTGTATTTTTTTTTTTTTGGCCAATAAACATGATTGAATTTACTCAATGATATGTCAAACAATAACAAAACGTAAATAATTAAAGCAATCAATATCACAATTAAAAAAAATTCCCTTCGATCATTGTAATAAAGGAAAATGTTTCAAAAAAGTTCCAGTTATTATAAAACAGTATACCATAATATTTTTACTTTATGATTTACATTAAAAATTTACATTTAAATTTACATTAAAAATGTTTTTAAAAACTGGACGGATTATTGACAAATTTTTATTGATAATACTTGAGACATTTTCTTGTCGACTATAAACTTTTTTGCAAATTTAATCAGTAACTGTACTGTATGTGCTAAAAATTATATTAATTTTTTTTATTTTTAATTTTAATAATATTCCGAAAAATCTGTATTTATTTAAAGTTAAAATTAATACAATGTACTTTAAGATATAAAAACAAAAACTATTCGAAACGTCGATTTCTAGGAGATATTAAATTATAAAATCATACCATTTTCTGTAATTTTGAAGGGTTTTGTATATTAACATATTAATCGACATCATTTAAAACTAAATCAAATTTAAGGATTTTTACTGTAATAATAAAAAAAAAACGTTCCGATGACTTGTATTCTAAGAGTAATCGGTCTCTTAATCATGTAATCGTGTAATTTTTTGTAGGTATAACATATTAAAAAACTTATCTTATTTACCAGATTTAAAAAAATCACTCCTTTTTTAATTTGTTTCAAACAAGTATTGAAGTAATTTACGGTAGTGATTTTAATCACTGTCAGATGTCAATTAACATTAATATAAAATGACGCCTGATATCTACTACGCTGTATCTTGACTGTACTTGACTTTTTTTAATAGAAATAAAAATTTTTAAATATTATTTTATTAAATATTGGTTTTTTAAATATTATCAAAATTAGAGTTTAAATTGTATAACTATTACAGACCATTCTACATTAAATTATTTAACTTATTAGTCAACTCAAAAACACTTGAAATTTGTATCATAGACCCCCTTAGAGTATTTATTAAACTGAGCTTTACAATAAAAAAAATATTTAAAAACGCCTTATTTTAGCTTCTGTATTTTAAGGGTGGTAAAATTATTAAATTTGTACCATTTAGATATTCAAGGACAATTATATGATGAACCTTATTTTTTTTTTAATAAAAATACTTATTCTTTGTTTAGTATATATTTTTTAAATTTAAAATTTGGTAGTCATACAATAAATTTATCGTATAGCTAACACATCAAATAAAAATAATTTATTCATAATTGCTTTTAATGCAAAAAACGAGACGATAACATGTTTCGATAAAACCCCAGTTTGATCGAAATGTTTGCTGCTAAAATTATATTATTTACTTTGTCATTTTTTTTTTTTTTAAATTAAACACATGAGTGTTTTCAAAAATAAATAAAGAGAAAAAACATAGCTATTTTAATAACTTATAATTTTAGGAAAAAATCAACTTTATATTATAATTACTATTAGCTATTTAAAAAAAACTCATAATGTTTATTCCATTAAAATAGCTATCATTATTTTTTTACACTTTATTTTATAGATTTATTAACCTAAAATATTTCGTTAGTAATTATGTTGTACAATTTAAAGT